CCCTGGGCTATAATCATGGTTTGATGAACAGTATTCAAGACCCGCTACTGACCAGTCCAGAGAATCATGGTCTCACTGGTCACAGAGTGAGAACCGAATTCACCACCACCACCACCACCACCAAACAAACAAACAAACAAAAACAAAACAAAAACACCCCCCCCCCAAAAAAAAAAAACCCAACCAAATAAAAGCCCAAAAAACACCCAGGATACTGCACTTAGTAGAGATATGGCTATTAACTTCTGTTTTAGTTACGCATTTCAACAAGAAAAGCAACAGAAACAACTGAAGGGAAGAAGGGTTTGTTTTAGCTCATGGTTTCCAGGATTTCAGACCATCGTGGTGTGGAAAGTGTGGTTTGGGAGGCATCTCTATAAACCCTTTGTCCGCGACCATGGCCCTAGCCACTGTCTTATGAGAGAACAGATGAGGAGAGGTGATGTGGGCGTGTCACTGCCCATGGCAGTGTAGGTTTTAAGGGAACCATAGAGACAGCTGAAGAGGTGAGTAGAGGGGCCACTTTCACATGAAGAGAAGCGATGGGAGCAGCTGGCTGGGCAGTTTCCTTTAATAACTTCTACCAGTTAAAAATTGGTGACAGGGAAGTCCACCAGTCCCTCTGTGTGCCTCGTAGGCTTGGTACTCTTCATTTTGTAGTACACACTCAGAACGCATGACCTCATCCAGAGCCTGCTCCTCATTCTAGTCACTGCTATCTCTTGTCATCTTGTCATACTTTAAAACCCCATCTGTGACTTCAGAAGTCACAGTCCTCCAGACTCAATTATTTTTTTTTTCAGCATCAAAAAATTTCTTGGATGGAATCATGTGACATTTAAGTTACCGGTTGGCCTTATCAATGAGGCTTTGGAACCATGGCAAGGGTCTATTCAGATTATCTGTATATGGTGACTTTAGGCAGGGCAGTGTGACTATGACTTACAGGTGGAGACAGGAGCTTATGCAGATGAAGGCCAGAATGTTGATTGACATGAGGCCACTGTGAATAGTCACTGCACCAACCCACTCTACATCACGTGAGTGATCCAAATTTTGGGTTTTCCACCTATAAACGGTAAGAAGCTTGCTGCATGGGACAGAGTGGCGGGGACTGCCAATCACCCACCCAGTGGCTGCTACATGTGTACATGAGATCGAGCACTCTCAGTATCCTTTGCCCACTGTGACCAGCACTGAGAAAAACACACCCCTCTTGTCACCTTCTCTAGGGGAAGCTGCCCAGGCCAAGAGAGGAAGAAGGTACAACTCAACCAGTCTGGCTTCAAACCCTTTCTCATTCTTCACTAAGTGTATGAAATAAATCCAGTTAAGTCCTTGGAGCATCTCTTTTGATCAAAGTAAAATGGAGGAAGATTAACACATTATAGAGTAACTTATAGCATTAAGTGAAATACTTATTATATATTTATTATGTGGAAGAGTCCTCTATAAATGGTCAAGCTGCCTACAAATTTAGGAACTAATTCTAACTTCTCCATGTGAGAAATATTCATGAAAGGGATACTGTATACCAGGTTCTGAGCCAGCCTTGGGATCCTTCGTTGGCTTTGACCAACATTAAGCATGATGGGACCAGAGCAAACTAGCTCTTATATCTCAGGGTGCTTCAGAGGAGAGAGGGGCCAGGAACTGGGGGAAAGAGATTCTGAGAAGGTTTCTGGAATTTTTAGCTGCTATCTGAAGGACAGGAAGAGTTAGCCAAGAAGTGTAGGAGTTGTGAGGTAAGAACCTCTGAGGAGGAAAACACAGAATGCCCACTGCCTATGAGACAGTACCCACCAGGAGGACCCATGGACTAGCTTTGTGAAGTTGTGACACCAAGAAGTGATAAGAACTGGGCTCACTGCCATCCTGAGGCTCTCGGCAGCTATGACATGCTGACAGAACCTTTGTGAAAACATGTGCGGAGTCACCCTCACTCTTGGACCTCTTTGCATTGGATGGGTGACTTCTTGCCATTTTCTCCTCTCTTTCTTTAATAGCCTGTGCTGGCTTTATTCTCCCGCATGCTCAGTGCTCACCCCATGGGAGACGAGCTATTATAGATCATATTAGTCTCTGTAGTGCCATCTTCTAAAAATCACATTTGTTTTGCTTTAGCTTCCAGGCTGCAAATAAAACAAGCACAGAGTCTGGCCTTTTAGCCACCCAGGGTTCCCTATCTTCTAAGTCACCTCTTCTCCAGCTCCATTCTGTGGTAGTCACAACAATGGTTCCTATAGAGGACTTTCTTGTGTGAGCCCGTGAGTGTGCTACCTTATTTGGCAGAAAGAACTAGATGTAGATGTGATCATGAGATGAGGAGATTCCCTTGGACTACGTGGGTGTGTCTCAGTGGAATTATAGGGGTCTGTGGGAGACGGGGAGGTTGACCAGTGTCAGAGAAGACCTGGAGGGAAAAGAAGAGGCAAGAGTGACGTGGATCACGAACCTGGAAAGCCAACAGCCTCTAGAAGCCAGGAAAGGCAAGGGAGCAGATTCATCCCCAAACCTACAGAGGGAATCAGCCCTGTTGACTCAATTTGGATTTTGGCCCCCAAACCCCTCAGCCCATCGTGTGGTTTTTAAATCACTGAATTCACGCTATTTTTCTAAAGCCATGGCAGTAAGGAATACACCACAGCCTTGTGCTCATTCGATGGGCCTGCTATTAGGTGGCCCAAAGATCCCACAGCTGTGGTCCTCACCCCACCCATACTGGCTGTTTCCCAGCCTTTCCGAGACTCATTCCTGCACTTGTGGACCAAATTGTCCTAATCCGGACCACATTGTCTAGGATCGTCCTGTATCTTGTTTTACGTTGTGCTTCCTTTCACATTCTCCACCTCTTTATTTTTTGTTACTCGTTTTTCCTGTTTTCTTTGGGTTTCCCTAGTTGGCAGTCCATGCCATGCTCACTTCCCAACCGTTCCTTCTGCATGTAACCCACAATAAGTTACTTGCAAGCCACTCCCCGCAGCTCCACATACGTGATTCTTTGGGGTCACTGGTGAGTCCAGCTTGCCAAATGCAGTTCCCATCCTAAGTGTCCTTTACTCCTCCAGATCATGGTTCTGTTGTGTCATCCCCCTCTGAGACCACACCACCACTCTTCCTGGTTTATTAAGGCTTCTACTTCTTTTCTCATTCATCCACACAGTAATCTCTTGATCCAACCACTCTGGTGTGTGTATATGTGCATGAGTGTCCGTGTTCATGTATGTGCATATGCGTGTGTGTGTTTGTGTGGATGAGATCAACTTCAGGTGTTGTTCTTCAGGAGTGGTTCACCCTCTTTGTTGAGACAGGCTCTCTCACAGGGACCTGGGACGTGGCAGTTGAGCGAAGCTGACTGGCCGTTGAGCCTCATGGGCTTTCTGCTCTCTGCCTCTTTGGTGCTGCTATTGAAACATACACTACTATACCTGGCTTTTTATGTGGGTGCTGGGGATTGAACTCGGGTCCTCATGCTTATTCAACAAGCACTTTACCTGCTGAGCTATCTCTTCAGCTCCTGTTGAACCCCTCCTGTCTGTCCAGGATAAAGTTAGGGACTAGTTATGAATACGTAGGCATACGTCCTATGGTCGTTAAGGAGTTTAGAGTAAACTAGAAGAGGCGGACACACCATGATGATGACGTTGATAATAACATGTTGTTATTATTATTATCCTAAGGACAAGAGCGAAGATTCACACAGGCCGCAGACAGTGCCCAATCCCCTGTTAGTCCTCTGACTTCGTTCTTTAGTTTGTGATCTCTGAGGTATTAACAGCCTGTGGCCTGTGCCTGACATACTGAACAAGGATCTCTGGGGGTGCAGTTGAGATGGGCCAGATTCCAGGTCTTCTGTCCTGGGGCATCAGGCTATATTTAGTGTCCAGGACTCCTAACTCTGCTCCTCTTCCTGGAGGCCCTTTGCCCCTCTCCTCCCCCGGAAGACTACAATTTTTAGGCTCTAGCCTGGATGCTACTCCTGTTAAAGGACTTCACTGTACCATCTCCTCCTGAGACAGCGTCCATAACCCTGGAATCTCGACGTCTACTACCTCCTCCTCACAGCATCCGATTTCTCTCTGAGAAACTGAGAGAGTGAGAGCGACATTTCGTTTTCATCATTTGATCCCTTGGACCAACCCAAGTTTTGTTTGTTTGCTTAATTAACATCATATTACCTATAGGTTCTTTTTACCATTGAAACCACTGTGGTTTGCTAATTACAAGCATCCTAGTTGTCATTATGTTACGTAGGTATAAAAATGACAACTGGTTTGCTATCGAGAAGGCAGCTCCAGGTTGGGCACATTTCCTCACTAACTCGTGTGTAAATCTTTCTCTTGGCCCTGCTTGAGAGAATATAGATTCTTAGAACTGTGCCTGCACAGTAAATGACATTGATGTTACCCCGCAAGGGCTGCAGGCTCACTCTTGTGACCTCTTATCACTGCAATCGTGATGGTCAACTCCATGTCCATTTGACTGGATCACAGGGCACCCAGACATTTGTTAAACACTCTGTGGTGTCTGTGAAAATAATTGATGAGAATAATATTTGAGTGGGTAGACTGAGGAAAAGAGGTTTTCCTTTCACTCTGGACAGGCATTGGCCAGTCTGCTGAGGACCCAAATAGAGGGAAAAGTGAAGGAAGAGAGTCCACACTCTGTGTGATGTCTTGTGCCACAATATTGGTATTTCCCTGCCTTCCGGCTGAGACTTACAGCATCTGCCATCCAGTTTGCAGCATTTTTTATATGAACTAGAACTGTGCCCCTGGCTTTTCTGAGTCTCTAGGACAAATGACAACCTTCATAGTGGTGTGAAGCAATTCACACACACACACACATCCTCCATAAAACGTATTGTAAATAGATAGAGCTTTTGCATATATGTATATCGGCAAACCTTAAGCACATAATCGTGTTCAAATTATCCAGAAACAAATCTGGCTGTACGGGCCATCACAGTGAGAGCATATAGTATATGGTGAACTTTTTACCTCCACATCTTTTCTCTTTGCTGCTACGTGCAGAAGCCTTAGTAGGTGGTACTGCTCTGTCTGCTCCAACTGAGACATCAAGGCCAGGAGTTCCACCAGGTGCCTGTTGATTGGCTGAGGCTGCTTTTCATAGACAGCAGGTAACACCCTTAACAGCATGGCATTTCCTATTGGGGAAACAATAAAGGCAACAGCAGCTACTTTACCAACCTCAAAGCAATAGAAATGGTGTTATTGTCGATGCAAGTGTCTTCACACTTAGGCAGTACGGTCAACAGCTGAATGTTCTGTTAAAAGTAACAGAGTATCTCATTCTGAAAGATTTCCTCACTAAAGCTCAATTCCAACTGATTTAAAAAGGGGGGATATTTAATGACACAATCAACATTATTATCTAGTGAAATTTTTTCCTGAGTAATGCTCCTCAGGACTAGAGGCACACTTGACAGTAACCAGACCACACCCCTGAGGACATGGTTCCGATAAAGAACTCCTGATGGGACCCAACACTTGGATGATGTTGAAATGAAAAATGAGCTGTGTCATAAGCATAAACCTAAATGAAATTGGACCAAAAATATTTGCAAAGGAATGTGCTCACATTCCTGAGGGGAGGGAGGCATGGTTTAGACAATGGACATATGGAAACTATGCCTGATTTTTATGAATAGTTTAAAAGGTGGCGATGCGAATTTAAACCTTCAGTTTCTGCACTATTTCAAGAGGAATTCACACCCAGCTTGTTTGTCACATGTGATTAGCCTCAAAGACAAGTGTGACAAGTGGATTTAAAATGGCAAAACCTGAAGAAAAAAAATGTTCCCTAAGCTGCAGGGACTTCTCTGCAACGTGTGGGAAACAGCTGCTTTACAGTATGGAGTTTTCGCCTCAGTCCTGTCAAACACTTACTTAACTGTCCTAGAGGATTTGGTTTCTAGAGGTTTCTTGAAGAACATTTTTTTGATTCTATTTATGGTTTTTGTTGCGACAGTGGTACTGAGATTGAACCTAGGGCCTTAACACATGCCAGCCAAGCACTCTTCAAAGGGCCAGAGTCAGCCCAACACAGTTTGTGGCTTATTGTTATTTTAAAGTTAGCTTTATTCACAGAAAGAATCAAACAAGCAGAAACTGCACATATATAAACCTTCGTTAAGTAGTGGGGACATGCTAATACAAAAAAGACATTTAATTATGAGCATTAAGGAAAGAAAGCTTGGAGTTCTAGAATGCCAGTGTTAATATTCACTTAAAATATTTAGGTAAAAAATATTGAAAAATTTTTTCATAGAATTAATTTCAAACATGTCTTAGCAATATATCTACAGAATAAAAGATCTTGGAACTATTTTTTCTTTTTAAAAAAAAATTGCAAGAGCCAGGCATGGTGGTGCATGTCTGCAACCTCAGTGCTTGAGAGACTGAGACAGGAGGATGACCACAAGTTTGAGCGCATTCTGGCCTACATAATGAGTTCAAGACAAGCTTGGGCTACAGTGACCTTGTCTCAAATGGAAACTAACAACTGAAACATAAAGAAGTTGTTCCTGGGATAGAGCGTCAGCTCAGCATTTAAGAGCCCTGGCTGCTCCTCCACAGGACTGGAGTTTGAATCCCAGCACCCACTTGGTGGCTTACAACCATCCTACCCTCCGGTTACAGAGAACCCAACACCTAGGCATGCACGTGAACACAGAACACCTGCATACATAAAATAATACAAAAAATTAAAAAGACACTGTTCCCATCACTATTTAAAACAATTTAATACCAAACAATTTATTTTGCTTAGTTTCTGTTTATTTTTATATAGAGCTTCTCCTTAAGTCCAGGAAATTTTAATTCAGTACAAGATTGATGCAGAATACACTAGGTCATAGAAGCCAGCTGTGTATTCGCTGGTAGGAAGCATCTCGTTGAAAGGGACAGTAACTAGAATCTGGGACAGGAAACTGCTGTGTGATGTTTTAATATTCTCTCCAACAAAGGCCCTGGACACTGGGGAAATTCCCTTATTAGTCATTTTTAACTGACTTCAATTTCAAGAAAATAAACAAAAAAAAGTGCAAAAGAACTTTTTTTTTTCAGTTAGAAACTGATGAAATCTGGATGTAGAAATACTGTAAAAATTCCAGTCATAAGTTCATAAATTCTTTTTAATACTGAATGCTTCAAGCCCACAGGCAAGCATAAGAAATGATAAGAGGAACAATGGAATGTCTCTCAGCCAGCTTTACCAAAACTTTGCCTTGTGCCATAGGTGTTCCTGGCCATTTTCTTTCCCAACCATCACCCTGAAGTCAGTATTTCCCATTGTTGTGTTTGTTTTTGTACCTTAATTATATATATGCATCAATACACTTCTTATAGCTGCTGGCTTTATATTTTTCTTTCTTTTTAAAATAACTTTTTACTGGTTCTTTGTGAGTTTCACATCATACACCTCAGTCCCGTTCATCTTCCTGTCCCCTCATATTTGTCCTCTGCCCTTGCAACCTCCCCTCCCAAATAAAACACACACACAAATATAAAACAAAGCATAGAAAACATCTCATCTTGGAAGCCATAGGATGTCATAGTGTGTCCCACAGTATACCCCTCTGTCCACACATTTTCACTTGCAAATGTTCAGTGCAATGAGTCATTGGTCTGGTTCGAGGTCTCTGGCTTCTGTGACACCATCAATATTGGATTCTCACTGGGACTCCTCCTGGTTATCCTGTTGTTGCCCTGTGTCATGGAGATCCTGCATCTTTGGATCATCAGGCCTGGTCCTTTCACGCATCCCAACTGTTTTCAGATGATACAGATTTTAGGGTGGGCCAACTCAGAATGCTGCATCTGGGCCTGGGTGGTAGCTGAGCTGGTCAGTGAGCCAGCTCTCCCTTAACCATACCACCAGGGCAAGCTCTCCAGCACTGCTGAACTAGGCCAACCAATGCTGCCATCCATAGGAGGCAGGGTCAGCTCTCCTGCTCTCCGGCTCTCCGGGCCTGCTCAGCTACACCCACACCTCCAGAGCCAGCTCCACTGTTCTGCCCAGTCAAGGTGCAGGGCCTACTCTTGGCAGGGCTGCAGCTGGTAAGGGGCTGAACCAGCTCTCCAACTCTCACACCCTCACACGGCTTGCTCACCCGTGCCTTTGCCATCAGGACCAGCTCCACTGTATTGCCCAGGAGAGGTGCAGAGCCTGCTCTCCCAAACGCTACAGCCAGTGAGGGGGCAGGGCTGGCTAGGTGATCCTGCCCTCAGGGCCAGATCTCCAGGCTACCGAAGGTGGTGAGGTGGGAAGGGTAGAGGGCATCACTGCTGCGTCCACACAACCTCAGGGCCGACAGGTGGTGGGGCTGGCTCACCCTTGCTCTCTCAGCCAGAGCCAGCACTACTGTGCTTCCAAAGTGGGGGCAGGGCCCACTCTACCAGCTGGCCAGGGACACAACCAGCTCACAGGGCTCACAAGACCCCAGGGCCATCTCACCCAACTGCCCCTGGTGGCGAGGGGATAGAGGAGCTTGCTTTATTATTTTACATGAATAGATTGACTATATACAGAACCCTTTGCAAACTATTTTGTTCCATTCAACATTATGCTGTTTTTCATTCAAACTGACCTCTGATCTTTACTCTTCTACTTGCTCTTCTATCCAGGGCCACCGTTTTGTCAATGTACTCTACGGTTGAAAGACACCATTTTCTATAGTTTCAAGAAGAAACCACCAGCCAAGCCCTGAAATCACTTAGACTTGTTATCTTCTGTTTTCAGAAGCCTGACACGAATGCCCCTGTGCTAAAACCATATGTAGGCAAGGCTCCAAGGCTCTCTACAGAGACTCCAGAGAGAACCGTTACTTTGGCTCTTCTAGCTTCTAGAGTCTCTGGTGTACTTGATGGTTTGTCGGCCTTTCTGTCATCTTCAAAGCTAGAAACGTGGTGACTCCGTGACCTTGCTTCTTTCTGTCACCATCATTCCTCATCTGACTCTGTCTTTTTCCTCCCCCTTTCACTTTCTTTTAAAAATATTTTATTTATCATATGTGTGAATGTATGTAGGTGCTATGAATGTGTGTGCCATGACATGTGTGTAGAGTTTAGAGGACAATTTTCAGGAATTGATTCTCTCCCTCCTCAGTGTGTTCCAAGGACGGAACTCAAGACATCAGGCTTGCATGGGAAGAGCTTTCATCCAATGACCCATTCTCACTTTAGTATCCTTTTTGACTTTTAGAAACCCTATGATTGCGGAGTCAACCTAAATAGTCTACGGGTGTTCCCTAGTTTTAACTCATTCTCAAATGCAGTAATATAGAGCAGGTCCTTTAAACAATATCTCATTGTCCCATAAAGCCATTTCTTTCTTTTAGGCCTTAAAATCTATTTCAGGCACACTTGGTTTTAGCTGCTATTTTAAGTAAGTGAAGCTCTTGAGCAGGGGCTTAATGCTTTTTGACTTTCTGTTGATTCTTAATTTATAATATACTATTCCCTCAGGTGTCTAGATATGTTTAAGTGTGAGTTCGTTTTTACCGTGGTGGATGGTATAACCATGTGCATTCCAGATGCATGAGGGCAAGCCCGAGTTCCAAACACTTAGGGGTCTTGTGGTACTCAGTCAAGGAAAGCCATGCATGATTCCTTGTGCAGGGACGGAAAGAGGAGTTTACCTATGGAAATGCAGAGGGCAGCCTTCTGAGAGGCCTCGCCTTCATGTCTGCACAGCTGTGACTGATCACCCGAGCTGACCCTCTGGGCTTGGTTCCCTCTTGATCTTTGGCCACTGAATCTTTTTCTTGCTTTATTTGGAGTTCAGTTGAATGTTTTAACGGTTTTTGTTGTTTTTGAGACAAGGTTTCTCTGGATAGCCTTGGCTGTCCTGGACTTGCTTTGTAGACCAGGCTGGCCTCAAACTCACAGCAATCCTCCTGCCTCTGCCTGAGATTACAGTTGTGCACTAATGCACCCAGCTGTTTTTTCAACACCTTGTATAGGTATTTTTCCACAGGGGGGATAGTCAGCGCGCACACACGCGCGCGCGCGCACACACACACACACACACACACACACACACACACACGTCACTAATTTAAATTTAAAATGGGACCTTTGCCTCTGAGCTTGCTAGAGTAAGTCCACCACATGCTAGATTATATATATCAGAGAATTCCTGAGC